AGCAAACCGAAGCTCAGAGGGGGTTGAACAAAATCCCAAAGGTCACACAGCTACAAGGTAGTGCAGTCAACTCTGAGACTGTGACTCCTGACTTCACGACCACACCTTCTGTAGGTTGTAACACTGATCCTCATTCCACAATACCTATCCCGCAATATTATGTGTGCACGGGAACCTCGGGGTGGCAGGGTCGAGGAAGGCTGGGGGGATATTTCATAAAAGAGGTCGAGAAAATTAGGTATGCACTGGGTTAGTGTGATTTGCTCTCCACATCAAATGCCAAAATACAGTCCAGGTGAATTACAGAGGCCATGACATGTGAAAAAAAAAAAAAAAGGTTAAAAATAAAGCCAGAGGCCGGGCGTGGTGGCTCACGCCTGTTATCCCAGCACTTTGGGAGGCCGAGGCGGTTGGATCACCTGAGGTTAGGAGTTCGAGACGTGCCTGGCCAACATGGCAAAACCCTGTCTCTACTAAAAATATAAAAAAATAACCTGGGCATGGTGGCGGGCGTCTGTAATCCCAATTACTGCGGAGGCTGAGGCAGGAGAATCGCTTGAACCCCAGAGGCGGAGGTTGCAGTGAGCCAAGATCACGCCACTGCACTCCAGCCTGGACAACAGAGCGAGACTCCATCTTGAATACATAAATACATAAGCTAGAGAGATGCGTGGTGCACACTCATCTGCTTTCACGCTGGGGAACAATGCTTCGAGCTTTAGAACAGTGGAAACATGACGGAAGAAAACGGCAGCTCGGCCCATTTCACTACTTCACCATGTCAAGTTTCTGTCTACCCAAACATGTCCACCAACATTAAAAGGCAGATTTCCACTCCTGGCTGAGATGGGGTAGCAGGGACTGGATTTATCTTCCTGCCTGAAACAACCAAACAGCAACACAGAACAGACAAAATACACAACACAATGAAACAACCAACACAGAACTGACAAAACACACAACACAATGGCTCTCAAGACCCCACACGTGGGCGGTGCACAAATGTGCTTCCCGGGCTGGGAACTGGCCTTGGGGGCCTCTCGCTGCCTGTGCAGTTTCTGGTGGGTTTCCAAGCTTCAGTGCAGGAAGTGGGAGTTGAGATGGAGGCCACAGAGTCCCTGAGCGGATGAGGCAGAGCTGGGGGTCTCCAGGCAGCTGAAGTTCATGAAGCTCACAGAGCTGCCCAGAGAGAGAAGCTGAGACTGGAGAGTCCCCCTGGAGTATTAGGGACGGAGCCATCAGCACATGCCAGGGGAAAGGTCCCAAGGCAGGAAAGCACTATCAGAAAGGACTAGAGAGACCAGTGCTGGGCAGTGCCGGGCGCTCGCATGGATCTAGGAATTGTGTCTGCTCCCACCAGCCACGGCAGAAAACCCTATCACGCACAGCGGTGGGGTGCTCAGAAACAGCTTGCCCCCATGGTGGGGAAGAGTTAGCCCACACGATTCCAGACCTCCCTTACAAACGGTAAAAGTAATACTTGAAAGGATCAAACTGCTTGCAGATAAACAGCTACATTCCAGAACAAAGCTCAGGAATATTTGTGGAAATATAAAAGGATCCAGCTCCCACCCGAGTTAAAGTTTACAATGTCTGCATTCCGATAAAAAATTATCAAAAAGACACAGAAGCAGGAAAGGGTGACCCATAAAAAAGAGGAAATATCAGTCACTCAGTCAACTGCGGGACGCTAAAGCTCACCACTAATACCCTACGGCCGCCCCTAAAACAACAACACAAAGAGTTACTGCGAAAACGCCAACGAACAAGATGACGTGATGAATCAAACTTCTCACGAACGCAATGGGAGGCAGAAAAAAGAGTAAAGGGGAGAAAAGAACAGATGCGACAAATAGAAAGCAAGTAACAAGGTGACGGACTCTAACTTAACCATACCAGTAAGCATGTTAAATATCAATGGGCTCAACTCCCCGATTAAGAAGCAGAGGGGCCATGCATGGTGGCTCACGCCTGTAATTCCAGTAGTTTTAGAGGCTGGTAGAGGAGGATCCCCTGAGTCCAGGAGTTTAAGACCAGCCTGGGCAACAGAGGGAGAATGCATCTCTCCAAAAAAAAAATTTAGCTGGGCGTGGTGGCATGTGCCCGTAGTCACAGCTACTTGTGAGGCTGAAGCAGGAGGATCCCTTGAGCCCTGGAGGTCGAGGCTGCCATGAGCTGTGATTGCACCAACACACTCGAGCCTGGGCAACAGTGAGACCCTGTCCGCACATCCCCAACCAGAGGTTGTCTAATTGATAAAATAGCAAAGCCCAACTATGTACTGCCAATAAGAAATATGGTTTAACTGGCCAGGTGTGGTGGCTCACACCTGTAATCCCAGCACTTTGGGAGCCCGCAGTGGTAGGATTGCTTGAGCCCAGGAGGACAAGAACGCCCTGGGCAACATTTCTACCAGGATTTGGTAGAAACCCCATCTCTACAAAAAATACAAAAATTAGTGAGGCGTGGTGGCACACGCCTATAATCCCAGCTACTAGGGAGGCTGAGGCACAAGAATCGTTTGAACCCAGAAGGCAGAGGTTGCAGTGAGCTGAGATCGCGCCGCTGCACTCCAGCCTGGGCGACAGAGCAAGACTCGGTCTCAAAAAGAAAAACAAAAGAAGAAAAGTCTCAAATCAACGACCTCGCTCTCAGCTTAAGGAAAATAGAAAAAGAAAAGCAAATTCAATCCAAAGTGGGCAGAAGAAAGGAAATGGTAAACATCAAGTGGAAGCTGATAAAACAGAAAACAATAAATAATAGAACAAAATTGAGAAAACCAAAACTTGGTTCTTTAAGAATATCAATAATCCTGATAAGAGTATCAATAAACCTTTCACCAACTTGATGGGGGAGGGCCCAGGGAAAGGAGGAGAAGGACAGAAATTATGAATATCAGGAACAAGAGAGGGGGCATGAGTACAGATTCCGCAGAAATTCAAAGAACAAAGACGCCGGGCACAGTGGCTCACGCCTGTAACCCCAGCACTTTGGGAGGCCGAGGTGGGTGGATCACCTGAGATCAGGAGTTGGAGACTAGCCTGCCCAACATAGTGAGACTCCATCTGTAATAAAAATACAAAAATTAGCCGGGGGTGGTGGTGGGCGCCTGTAATCCCAGCTACTCAGGAGGCTGAGGCAGGAGAACCACTTGAACCCGGGAGGCAGAGGCTGCAGTGAGCCAAGATTGCACCACTGCACTCCAGCCTGGGCGACAAGAGCGAAACTCCGTCTAAAAAAATAAAAATAAAAATAAAAAAAAGAAGAAAATATTGGTGAACAGCTTTATGCCAATTAATTTGACAAGTTAGATGAAACGGATATGTCTCTTGAAAAACTGAAAATGCCAAAGCTCACACAAGAAGAAACAACTGACCTAAATAACGCTCTCTTAAAAACTGAGAGAGCAGCAAAAACCCTCCCACAAAGAAAATTCAAGCCCCACGTGGCTGCCTGATGTGTGAATGAGTCTTTACTCAATTAAACTCTGTTGAATTATCTAAGGCTTCTCTTTATTTTTATTTATTTATTTATTTATTTTTGAGACAGGGTCTCCCACTGTGGCCCAGGCGGGGTGCAGGGGCACGATCTCGGCTCACTGTAGCCCCCGCCTCCCGGGTTCAAGTGATTCTCCCACCTCAGCCTCCCGAGTAGCTGGGATTACAGGCATGTGCCACTACGCATGGCTAATTTTTGTTTGTTTATTTATTTATTTGTTTAGAGATGGAATCTCGCTCTGTTGCCCAGGCTGGAGTAAAGGGGTGTTATCTCCGCTCACTACAACCTCCGCCTCCGGGGTTGAAGTGATTCTCCTGCCTCCACCTCCCAAGTAGCTGGGATTACAGGCACTTGCCACCACGCCTGGCTAATTTTTGTATTTTTAGTAGAGACAGAATTTCACCATGTTGGCCAGGCTGGTTTCGAACTCCTGAGCTCAGGCGATCCTCCCGCCTCAGCCTCCCAAAGTGCTGAGATTACAGGTGTGAGCCACTGTGCCCGGCCAAGTTTTCTCTTTAAACGGATGGCATCAGAAGTGGGTCTGGCGTAGAGCTTCCAGAGGCCCCCAGGAGCTCTGACTGACCAAAGGAGGACCCACAGGGCCCACTGTGCCCTCTGCTTTCTCAGAGCAGCTGGGGTTCGTGGGAAGTTCCCTCTTGGATTCCAAAGCTTCATGGATGTGTGTTTTCAGCTCTCTGAGTTTGCTTGAGCAAATTTTTTATCTAAACTGGGTTCAGAAGTCGTGACAGAAACTGGACTGGGTCCAGGAAGGAATCTGATTTGATCATCCACTGGCTTGGATCCAGTAAGAGGCCCTTGCATGTCTGACTGGGTCAGGCAGAAACTAGCTGTAAATGGCAGGACTGCAGGAGGTACACACTCCAGCTTTTGGACACTCACAAGGATTTTCGTGTTCTACTCTCTTGGTTTCTTTTTTGTGCACACTAAGGTAGGGAAAAATCATTGCTAAGTTAATCGAGGGGATCTAAGAGCCAAAGTCAAGGTTTAATGTAAAATGGGATCCTTCGTCTCTGAGAAACCGAGCACCGTCTGGCTTGTAGGTCCATCCGTGTTAGGTCCTGGACGCAGCAAATGTTTACAGAAATGGTGGCATCTTACTAACGGTGAATGGAAATTATGGTGGGATGTTCCAGGTGAACACCACTGCACTTTAAGAAGTGCACCTAACTACAAGGCCTCCTCATTAGTCCCATCGGGGATGCTGATTGATATGAAGAAGCTTCTAACATGATTTCAATATTTTTATTCCCTATTTTAAAAGTGTCTGCACAAAAGGCAAATAAGTCCTGGCAAGGTGGCTCACGCCTGTAATTCCAGCACTTTGAGAGGCCAAGGTGGGAAGATCGCTGGAGCCCAGGCGTTTGAGACCAGCCTGGGCAACACAGTGAGGCACCCGCCCCCCCAGCCCCTGCCGCGTCGCCCAGCCATCTCTACAGAAATTAAAAAAAAAAAAAAAATTAGCCGGGCACGGTAGCACGCACCTGTAGTCCCAGCTGCTTAGGAGGCTGAAGCAGGAGGCAGAGGCTGTGTCAGAGGTGTGTGAACCTGAGCGACTCCATCTTGAACAGGAGCTGGGAACAATGAGGCTGAGACCTAGTGGGCTGCATTCCCCGACGGTCAGGCGTTCTCAGTCACTGGATGAGACAGGAGGTCGGCACAAGATACGGGTCATAAAAACCTTGCTGAGAAAACAGGTTGCAGTAAAGAAGCCGGCTAAAATCTACCAAAACCAAGATGGTGACCAGAGTGACCTCTGGTCGTCCTCACTGCTACACTCCCACCAGTGCCAGGACAGTTTACCAATGCCACGGCAACGTCAGGAAGTTACCCTATATGGCCTAAAAGGGGGGGCATGAGTAATCCACCCCTTGTTTGGCGTATCATCAAGAAATAACCATAAAAATGGGCAACCAGCTGCTCTCGGGGCTGCTTGGTCCATGGAGTAGCCATTCTTTATTCCTTTACTTTCTTAATAAACTTGTATTTGCTTTGCGCTGTGGACTCACCCTGAATTCTTTCTTGCACAGGATCCGAGAAGCCTCTCTTGGGGTCTGGATCAGGACCCTTCTCCTGTAACAACTGCAGTGAGCTGTGATGGCACCACTGCACTCCAGCCTGGGTCTGGACCAGGACCCTTCTCCTGTAACAATTGCAGTGAGCTGTGATGGCACCACTGCACTCCAGCCTGGGTGACAGAGCAACACCCTGCCAAATAAGATAAAGACAAAATAAGATAATAAATGTAAATTAATTAATTAAGACAAATAAAAAGCTTAAGTGACCAGTTGACAAGAAAAAAATGAATCTTCTGGGCTCTTGGCCTGGTTACTATCCCGGACAGAACGCTATCCTAGATGAAGGATTTCTAAAAGGTCTCTCAGATCCAGCAGGCTTACTTCAGATCCATCCACGCTGAGCCCAGGCAGAGGGAAGGCTTTCTCCGCCCTATTCCTTAATGGGCCCCACCCTGTACTCCGTAATTTTAGCTAAGAAACAGTAGTTACAGTTAGAAGGACTACCTATCCATAGGTTGGTGTGAAAGTAATTGTGGTTTTTGCAATTACTTTTCAACCAGCCTAATAACTCAAATGCACCTTTCTGACATTCAACTACTATCTTGAAACCATTTTGTGAAAGAAATTTACATCTCCACAAGACATTTCCATTTGCAATGTCTGGGAGGGACATACCTTGGTTTTAAATTTACATAACAAGTCTTACGTTTGTTTAACGTGTTTTTCCTGGCCATCTTGTCTTAACTGGGCCTTGCTTTTTTCTTGATTTGAGCAAATGATGGTACAGTATTTAAGCTGAAAGTCTCAGCTCTGTACTTTTCAGATACACATTTTCTGCCTTGTTTCACCTAAGAGTTATATTTTTTGAAGGCAAATTGTTCCCTAGCTAACAATTGCTTAGTGCGATAAAACAAGTAATCACAAGATTGATTGTCTAAAGGGGGAAAAGAAAAACTATCTGAAAGCTGGCAAATGAAAATTCTTTGTGAAATCTGTAAGATCTGTTTCTATCTGTGTCTGTTATGACTATATGTCTCTTTGCATTACATGTATCTGATAATATTTAGGAAATAAAGCTGAAACCACCTTTGCACTGTCTCTTTGAGATGGTGAAAGACATCCAACTTAATTGACTCCATCTTGCCTCTTTTTTTTTTTTTGAGATGGAGTTTTGCTCTTGTCGCCCAGGATGATGTGTAATGGCACAAACTTGGCTCACCACAACCTCCACCTCCTAGGCTCTAGGGGGAGGCAGTTCCTGCCTCAGTCTCCCAAGTAGCTGGGATTACAGGCATGTGCCACCATGCCTGGCTAATTTTGTATTTTTTTTTACAATTTTGTTTTGTTTTGTTTTGTTTTTTTACAAAAAGTACAGGCGAGGTTTCACCATATTGGCCAGGCTGGTCTTGAACTCCTGACCTTGTGATCTACTCACCTCGGCCTCCCAAACTGCTGGGATTTCAGGTGTGAGATTCATGAGCTCAGATTTAAATACTTTGGCATCTTATTTTATATGTATAGAAAATCTAAATGTAGGCTGGGTGCAGTGGCTTACGCCTGTAATCTCAGCACTTTGGGAGGCCGAGGGGGATGGATTACCTGAGGTCAGGAGTTCCAGACCAGCCTGGCCAACATGGTGAAACCCCGGCTCTACTAAAAACTACAAGAATTAGCCAGGCATGGTGGCCTGCGCCTGTAATCCCAGCAACTTGGGAGGCTGAGGCAGGAGAATTGCTTGAACCCAGGAGGCAGAGGTTGCAGTGAGCTGAGATCGCACCACTGCACTCCAGCTTGGGTGACAGAGTGAAACTCCATCTCAAAAAAAAAAAAAAAGAACCCGCAGATAAAGGGTATAGGAAGAGGGCCGGGCGCGGTGGCTCAAGCCTGTAATCCCAGCACTTTGGGAGGCCGAGACGGGTGGATCACGAGGTCAGGAGATCGAGACCATCCTGGCTAACACGGTGAAACCCCGTCTCTACTAAAAAATACAAAAAACTAGCCGGGCAAGGTGGCGGGCGCCTGTAATCCCAGCTACTCGGAGGCTGAGGCAGGAGAATGGCGTAAACCCGGGAGGCGGAGCTTGCAGTGAGCTGAGATCCGGCCACAGCAGCACTCCAGCCTGGGTGATAGAGCGAGACTCCGTCTCAAAAAAAAAAAAAATAAATAAAAATAAAAATAAAAAAATTACGAAGTGGTTCCCCTCTACAAATACTGATATAAAATAGTTCACAATTATTTCTTAGGGTTTTCACTGGGATTTGGGTTACTGATATAAGTGTGGTTAACATTTGCAATTAAGACTACGATAGAGATAAGAAAAACAAAGCTGTATACAGAAAATATAAAAAATCAAGATATGCTTTTGGTGAGAGAAGGTATAAAGGCATGAAAAATGTGTGTTTAAAAATCATTTTTTCTAGTTTGAAGCTACTTAAAGCTCATTTCAAACTGAGAGAATAGGCCGGGCGTGGTGGCTCATGCCTGTAATCCCAGCACTTTGGGAGGCCGAGGCAGGTTGGATCACCTGAGGTCAGGAGCTCGAGACCAGCCTGGCCAACATGGGGAAACCCCGTCTCTACTGAAAATACAAAAATTAGCCAGGTGTGGTAGTGTTTGCCTGTTTTCTCAGCTACTTGGGAGACTGAGGCAGGAGAATTGCTTGAATCAGGGAGGCAGACGTTGCGGTGAGCCAGGATTGTGCCACTGCACTCCAGCCTGGGAGACAGAGTAAGACTCTGTCTCAAAAAAAAAAAGTAATCCCTGCACTTTGGGAGGCCAAAGCAGGCAGATTACCTGAGGTCAGGAGTTCGAGACGAGCCTGGGCAAAACATAGTGAAACCCCGTCTCTACCAAAAATACAAAAATTACACCTGCACCGCGGCGTGGTGGCACGTGCCTGTAATCCCAGCTACTCGGGAGGCTGAGGCAGAAGAATCACTTGAACCCAGGAGGCAGAGGTAGAAATGAGCTGAGATCAGGTCACTGCACTCCAGCCTGAGTGACAGAACGAGATGCCATCTTAAACAACAAACAAAACTAAATGTATTAGATCTGTAAACAAATATTTGAAGAAACATCTTTCTAAAAAAATTACGAAGGC